AGACAATCACCTGAAGGGAGGTGTGATTCAACTCACTGCTTGGACCCCATTTCCACTCTCCACGTACACTATTTTTAAACATAAAAGAAGAAGAAAAATGTATTACTTCAAAATGGAGATATCCTCAATGGCGCTGCCCATGCTGCCACAGACGCCATAACGGCACAGACACAAAGTGAGACCTCTTTCCATCTCTATTGAGATGCTTCTATATAATTTTTTTAATGTTCACAACTGATTAGGGTTCCCTGGGAAACATGGTTCCTACCCTGGTCACATAAGCCTTGTTTACACCTTGCGCTAACATGTAGGTTTCTTTATCTGATGAGTACGATCTAAATCACAGTCTGATCAAGGTTTGTTTTGCGTGTACACATGGTATTAAAATGGTTTCACTGTCTAGATCCGTCTACACTTTTAATCGTTTACACCTGTCTAAAAATGTGGGCACCATCAGAATGTGGACAACATCAGAACAAAGGATGCATGTAAGCACCAGTTATAAAGGGGGCTAAAATGAAACAAAAGAGACTAGGAGAATGAAGTCATTTTATTTCTAGATCTGCATGCAGTATAAAATCATGATAAAAATCAACATTTGGCCTCAGTCAATAAGTTTGTAATATTCCAAACGTAATGATCATCAGTGTAAACTGAACAATCTATTTGTAAACTTCCTGATGAACTCAAAAGAATCACAGGCCATGTTGTTAAAGAGACTGTACACATGACGATAACGTAGTAACTCAAAGCTTTATTCCTTAACATAAAGGGCCGGATTCCAGACACAGATTAAGCCAAGGTCTAGTCCTAAAACAAAAAAATGGTGTTTAATGGATATTCTCGATTTAAAGTGTGTCTTAGTCCAAGACTAGGCTTAATCCGTGTCCGGGAAACCAGCCCAAAGTGTAAGTGACATCAGTAGCAAACATGAAGCCAAATAGAAATGTGTCTATCTCTGATAAGCTACCCAGGAAAGGGCTGAAAATAGCCCACATTAATATAAATACGTAGCCTTAGAAATAAGGTTCATGAAATCAATAACTTGCTAACATCAGATAAAAATTAATACAGTATGTTAGCCATTTCTGAGACTCACTTAGATAATTCCTTTGATGATACAGCAGTAGCAATACAAGGATATAACATCTATAGAAGAGGCAGGAATACTTATGGGGGAGGCGTTGCTGTATATATTCAGAGCCATATCCCTGTAATGCTTAGAGAAGATCTTATGTCAAGTGTTATTGAAGTGTTGTAGTTGCAGGTTCACGTGGCGTATCTAAAGCCTTTTCTTTTGGGGCTGTTGCTATAGGCCACCAAGTGCTAACTGTCAGTATCTAAATGATATGTGTGAAACGCTTGATAGTGTACATGATGTAAACAGAGAGATCTACTTTTCTTGGGGACCTGAATATTGACTGGTTTTCATCAAGCTGTCCGGCTCAAGAGGAAGCTTCTCACTGTAACTAGTGTCTGTAATCTGGTTCAGGTTATTAATCAACCTACCAGGGTGCTTACAAACACTACAGGAACAAAATCATCCACATATATCGATCACATTTTTACTAATACTGTAGAACTTTGTTCTAAAGCTGTATCCGTACCCATTGGATGCAGTGATCACAATATAGTGGCTATATCCAGGAAAGCCAAAGTTCCAAAAGCTGGGCCTAAAATAGTGTATAAGAGATTATAGAAAATATTTTGTTGTGACTCATATGAAGATGATGTTTAAAATATTTGGAGCATCCAGATAATGCACTTGATGAATTTATGAAATTGCTTCTTCCAAATATTGATAAACATGCACCTGTTAAGAAACTGACTGTTAGAACTGTTAAGGCTCCATGGATTGATGAGGAATTTAAAAACTGTATGGTTGAAAGAGATGGGTAAAGGGAGAGGCTAATAAGTCTGGCTGCACATCTGAAGCGCGATGAGCCAAGTAAAAAAAAAACAGCCAAACCCTCCCCTAACCCGGACAATTGTGCACCGCCCTATGAGACTCCCATTCACAGCCGGTTACGGCACAGCTGGTAGAGCACGGCGCTTGTAACGCCAAGGTAGTGGGTTCGATCCCCGGGACCACCCATACACAAAAATGTATGCACGCATGACTGTAAGTCACTTTGGATAAAAGCGTCTGCTAAATGGCATATTATTATAATGAACCCTGGTCTGTAGTGACGACTTAACACTGCAATGCAGTGCCTTAGACCACTGCGCCACTCGGGAGGCCCTGTTGCCAATTATTTTAATGATTACTTAATCGCCAAAGTTGGCAAACTTAGGCAGGAAATGCCAACAACGATCAGTGAGCCATCGTACTCATGCATAATAAATAAATAATGAAAGAAAAGCAATTCATTTTGTAAAGTTAGTGTGGGAGAGGTGGAAAAATGATTGTTATCGATCAATAATGACAAACCTCCTGGCATTGACAACTTAGATGGAAAGCTACTGAGGATGGTAGCTGACTCTATAGCCACTCCTATCTGTCATATCTTTAATCTGAGCCTTGAGGAAAGTATTTGTCCTCAGGCCTGGAGGGAAGCCAAAGTAATTCCGCTACACAAGAGTGGTAAAGCGGCCCTTACTGGTTCTAACAACAGACCTATCAGCTTGCTGCCAGATCTTAGCAAACTGTTGGAAAAAATGCTGTTTGACGAAATACAATGCTATTTCTCTGTAAACAAATTGACAACAGACTTTCAGCATGCTTATAGAGAAGGGCACTCAACATGTACTGCACTGACACAAATGACTGATTATTGGTTGAAGGAAATTGATAATAAGAAGATTGTGGGAGCTGTACTGTTAGATTTCAGTGCAGCCTTTGACATTATTGACCATAACCTGTTGTTGAGAAAACGTATGTGTTACGGCTTTTCAACCTCTGCCATATTGTGGATTCAGAGCAATCTATCTAATCGAACTCAGAGGGTTTTCTTTAATGGAAGCTTCTCTAATGTCAAACATGTAAAGTGTGGTGTACCACAGGGCAGCTCTCTAGGCCCTCTACTCTTTTCTATTTTTACCAATGACCTGCCACTGGCATTAAACAAAGCATGTGTGTCCATGTATGCTGATGATTCAACCATATACACATCAGCAACTACAGCTAATGACGTCACTGAAACCCTTAACAAAAAGTTGCAGTCTGTTTCGGAATGGGTGGCCAGTAATAAACTGGTCCTGAACATATCTAAAACTAAGAGCATTGCATTTGGTACAAATTATTCCGTAAGTTCTAGACCTCAGCTGAATCTGGTAATGAATGGTGTGGCTGTTGAACAAGTTGAGGAGACTAAATATCTTGGTGTTACCTTAGATTGTAAACTGTCATGGTCAAAACATTTAGATTCAATGGTGGTAAAGATGGGGAGAGGTATGTCCGTAATAAAGAAATGCTCTGCTTTTATGACACCGCACTCCAAAGGCTCTAGTTTTGTCTTATATTGATTATTGTCCAGTCGTGTGGTCGAGTGCTGCAAGAAAATACCTAATTAAGCTGCAGCTGGCCCAGAACAGAGCGGCACGTCTTGCTCTTCATTGCCAGTCTCTCTTGGCTAAGAGTTGAGGAGAGACTGACTGCATCACTTCTTATTTTTATAAGAAACATTAATGTGTTGAAAATTCCAAATTGTTTGCATAGTCAACTTGCACACAGCTCTGACACACAAACTTACCACACCAGACATGCCACCAGGGGTCTTTTCACAGTCCCCAAATCCAGAACAAATTCAAGAAAGAGTACAGTATTATCTTATGTTGCTCAAATGAACAGCAAACTTGGTTTCAAAAAACAGATTAAGCAACACCTCACAGCACAACGCCTCTCCCCTATTTGACCTGTATAGTTTGTGTGTATGTATTGGTATGTAGGCTACATGTGCCATTTTTAAATTGATGTAGTTCTGTCCTTGAGCTGTTCTTGTCTATTAATGTTCTGTATTATGTCATGTTTCATGTTTTGTGTGGACCCCAGGAAGAGTAGCTGCTGCTTTCGCAACAGCTAATGGGGATCCTAATAAAATAACAAATAAAATATCAATATTGTTTAATTACAAATTAATGTTAGCTAGCATGCCAAAATATAAAAAGAAACACTGGAGATGACAGTAATGCACTGGTTTAGGAATGATATTACGTTATAAAGATGACTGCAATTTTGGCAAACTTGCTCAAATCTTTGTAGTAATGCGAAATATCAATATGATATATTTGTACATTCACAATTGTGTAAACTTTTTTTTTAAAACATGTACAAAACATTTCTAAGACAGGCTAATGACTTTGGTGTAATTCAGCTACAGCTTCCAAGAAAAAAAAACATTTTGAAAAATGTCCGTTACATTTCTTTCCTTTCTAAAAACGATATCCAGCTCACAGTTGTTGTGCGTCATGAGTAACTTTCTCAAATTGTTCTGGTACGGCATCCTGGTACTTTGCAAACTCTTCGTCTTCAGTATTATTCACAGTCCTTCTTCAAAACTTTTTGTCCAATAGTAGAAATCCAGTTAGCAACGGAGATGTGGTAAAAGTACATTTCATTTTCAGGTGGCTAAAAGAAAGATATAAATATTATGTGATGAGACAAATATAGAATGCTGCTGTATAAATGTAAAAGTATCAATTAAATGTAATTTCTTTCTTTGTATCATATAGAGAACATTATTTTCTGACAGAGCATTTTAACAGAGTAACCATACCAACAAGAGTGTGGCAGAGTTTCCTACTTTTTTTTAACCACTGCTAACCACTACTTGATCCGTAGATATGGTAAAGTACATTCTTATAATCAAAGAGAAAATCATTTCAAGTGGACAATGAAAATCACTGTTGATAGAAACAATGGTTCGTGAGGAATGCAGAATAGGTTTCTCTTTACAGTAGAAACATCTGAAGGAAAAACATTCTCAGTGACATCAGTAGTGATATCATATCCTGTGTTCTGTGTGGCATTCCATGGGGGTTGTAGGGAGTTGTAGTCCTCAAGGTATTCTCACAACTACAACACAGGCTCCAGCCCTTCCAATGTTGAGATTGACCTCCTATTGGAGACACACAGTAAAGGGTGATGAAAGGTCATTCAGTCTGTCTTAAACATCTATTGCAGTATGGAAATAAGAGGTTGTGCCTAGCAATTGGAATGGAGAAAGTCTAGGTCGAAAAAAGCGTTCTAAGAAGACCTAAGGAATGATTCAAGTTTACCTCAGTCCATTCATTGTTCTGTGCATCATAGGACTCAACACTGTTGAGGTAGGACGTTCCATCATATCCCCCGACAGCATATAGCCTGTCTCCTAGCAGACAGATACCTACAGCATCCCTGGGGACACTCAGAGAGGACACCGTGGTCCATGTGTCTGTTTTGGGATCGTATCTGCAGTGACAGAGAGGAAACACAAGGACAAAAGGGAAATACCTGAAGAAGTGAGAGGAGAAGTGGTCACTGGGATATTTAAGAAATACAGAGCAAAGATTAAAGCTTGTCCATGGATGAATTCAACAATATATTGTGAGTGGGACAATAATGTTGTTTTATGTTTAATTGTTTGTCATGGTGTCATTCTGTTCATTGATATGGGTCACATGCAGGTTGATGTTTACAGAATAACCAGCAGAGGGTACCAGAAGCCAGATAATCACACCTCTAAAACCAGCTCACATGGAAACAATGACTCATCTTGGGTCTGCCCTGTACATGGCTGTGTTCGAGATGATCAAACCCGTAATGTACAATGGGTAAATTGTGACTGATTGATTGATCTACAAATAAAAATTAGTAGTTATTTATGATGCAAGGTTCTGTGTAGATCAGTTGGTCGGCAGTCGCCTGCAGCGTCTGCTGCAATGTCGAAACAAGCCCAATGTGCGCGTTTGACACTGCAGTCGACTTTAAAGGCGAGTTGAGACTGACTGATCTACAAATCACCTTGCATCATAAATAACTACTCACTATTATTTGTAGATCAGTCAGTCAGTCACAATTTACCCATGATACATCACGGTTTTGATGCTCTCGAACACGGCCACTGCCTCACCTCAAAGAACATAACAAGACACACACCCATAGCCTGAAATGTCTCAACTCTCTGTTTCCATATGCATAGCCTGAAATGTCTCAATTATCTGTTTCCATATGCATAGCCTGAAATGTCTCAATTCTCTGTTTCCATATGCATAGCCTGAAATGTCTCAACTCTCTGTTTCCATATGCATAGCCTGAAATGTCTCAACTCTCTGTTTCCATATGCATAGCCTGAAATGTCTCAACTCTCTGTTTCCATATGCATAGCCTGAAATGTCTCAATTATCTGTTTCCATATGCATAGCTATACTTCACCTTCATCAAATCCATGAGTCTATAACAAGACACTTGGATAAAACAATGTTGAGTTGTTTTACTCTAGTGCAGTAATGACACAGGCTACATCCTCACGCTCTGCCCTTCTCCTAAAAGTGCGCTCTTCCGTACTCTCTGTCATGGATGTAAAATCATGTGATTGGTGTAAGCCTTTGCTAGAGGGAGTTTCCGCCGCTGTTAAATGCATTTCGGGAAGTGTGCAAGTCCCAAGATTCGAAACGCAGCCATACTGTAGACTAGAGCTATGTTTGGTTGTTTACCTCTCTACACAGTCTGAGAGTCTGGAGCAATGGTTGGACGCCGGGGCATCATGACCGCCCACAGCATAGAGGAAGCTGTTGTACGTGGCCACACCCACCCCTCCTCTCCGCTTCGCCATTGGGGCACACATACTCCACTTGTTGGTGTGGGGATCGAAGCATTCCATCGACCGCAGACACGAGCTCCCATCCCGACCACCAACTGCAAACAATCTGTAAGGATAGTAAAAGTGTTAGAAATCGGATTTTGGGATGTTGCTCAGATATGAAATCTTCGAGAAATGTTGCATCGGTCTTCCTAGACAGTATTGTCTTTTAAGGGAGGGAGAATCCCAGGCTTCCTTAGCAGAGAGGGATTGAGGGTTGTAGAAATGTCTTCCTTTCTTAGCAGAGAGGGATTGAGGGTTGTAGAAATGTCTTCCTTTCTTAGCAGCGAGGGAAGGAGGGTTGTAGGAACATCTTCCTTCCTTAGCAGAGAGGGATTGAGGGTTGTAGAAATGTCTTCCTTTCTTAGCAGAGAGGGATTGAGGGTTGTAGAAATGTCTTCCTTTCTTAGCAGCGAGGGAAGGAGGGTTGTAGAAACATCTTCCTTAGCAGAGAGGGATTGAGGGTTGTAGAAACGTATTCCTTCCTTAGCAGAGAGGGATGGAGTGTTGTAGAAACATCTTACATTTACATTTTAGTCATTTAGCAGACGCTCTTATCCAGAGCGACTTACAGTTAGTGAGTGCATACATTTTCCGTAGCAGAGCGGGATGGATGGTTGTAGGAACATCCTTGTTGTCTATTTTTTGACCCAGATGCAGGAAGACAATCAAAAAGGGTTTTATAGAGTGAAAACACACAGCAAAACAGTCCGTTGTTGTGTGGCATTACGTAACGCAGAGCTGTGGCAGTCCAGGCCCAGGCTTACACAAAAAAAGAAAAGCATTCTTGTTTTGATACGAAGATCAATGTGTTACATAACAAGAAGCAGAACCTTGTTTTCCTGGTGGGGCTGGTTATTAGTGTCTAGTGTGTGTGTATACATAAGAAAGTATCCTTTCATTTTGTGCCTTATGTCTTAAAAGCTTGTGTTTTAGTGAGAACTGTTACTGTATGCTGCCATAATGTTTTTAACGCAGCCACTTACTTTCCGTTGAGTGCGGTGACTCCCATGGTGCTGCGTGGTGTGGACATGCTGGCAACATAATTCCACTGTCTAGCCTGAGGGTCCCACCTCTCCACTGTATTCAGGTAACTCCATCCATCATGGCCTCCTACTGCATACATGGGGCCCTCCAACACTGTTACACCTGAATAGTTAGAAAGAGGAGGGGAACCATCAACCTACTGCATACACTGTGTGTATTTGTGTGTATGTATGTGTGTATGTGTGTGTGTGTGTGTACGTATGTGTGTGTGTGTGTGTGTGTGTGTGTGTGTGTGTGTGTGTGTGTGTGTGTGTGTGTGTTGTGTGTGTGTGTGTGTGTGTTTGTGTGTGTGTGTGTGTTTGTGTGTGTGTGTGTGTGTGTGCGTGCGTGTGTGCGTGCGTGCGTCCGTGCGTGCCTGTGTGTGGCTCAACCAGAGGTATCAACGATAATGCTCATTTTAGAACAGTTGAAGTGCTGTTCGATGATTCACCATTCTGTGGAACTGACCGAATGTATTCTCCAAACAGACCTGGGTTCAAATACTATTTGAAATAATTTAAAATACATTATTTATGCTTGATTGAGCTTGCTTGGCTTAATGGAACCAATACAATAGTCCCAAAAATACAAACCCCCGCCTATCCAGGACCAGGCAGGCTAAGGCAAATGTAGTTTTGAAAGATTTGAAATAGTACTTGAACCCAGGTCTGTTCTCCAAATAGGATGGATATAAAACACTGTGTTATTCCTGCTATTGCTGGGGTCACAGAGGGAAGTGGTTTTCCAACAACAATGAATAGGAAGTGACTGTACAACACAATAGATAGATTTATCCTGTGCATTCTGAAAGTATTCAGACCCCTTGACTTTTTACACATTTTGTTACGTTACAGCCTTATTATAAAATGGATTAAATACATGTTTTCCTCAGCAATCTACACACAATACCCCATAATGACAAAGCGAAAACAGATTTTTAGAAATGTTGACAAATTTATTAAAAAAATAGAAAAACGTTATTTATGTAAGTATTCAGTCCCTTGTTTCCATTGATCATCCTTGAGCTGTTTCTACAACTTGATTGGAGTTCAACTGTGGTAAATTTAAATGATTGGACATGATTTGGAAAGGCACACACCTGTCTATATAAGGTCCCTCAGTTGACAGTGCATATCAGAGCAAACACCAAGCCATGAGGTCAAAGGAATTGTTCGTAGAGCTCCGAGACAGGATTGTGTCAAGTCACAGATCTGGGGAAGGGTACCAAAACATTTCTACAGCATTGAAGGTCCCCAAGAACACAGTGGCCTCCATCATTCTGAAATGGAAGAAGTTTGGAACCACCAAGACTATTCCTAGAGCTGGCCTCCCGGCCAAACTGAGCAATCGGGGGAGAAGGGCCTTGGTCAGGGAGGTGACCAAGAACCAGATGGTCACTCTGACAGAGCTCCAGAGTTCCTCTGTGGAGATGGGAGAACCTTCCAGAAGGACAACCATTTCTGCAGCACTCCACCAATCAGGTCTTTATGGTAGAGTGACCAGAAGGAAGCCACTCCTCAGTAAAAGGCACATGACAGCCCACTTGGAGTTTGCCAAAAGGCACCTGAAGGACTCTCAGGCAATGAGAAACAAGATTCTCTGGTCTGATGAAACCAAGATTGAACTCTTTGGCCTGAATTCCAAGGGTCCTTGATGAAAACCTGCTCCAGAGCGCTCAGGACCTCAGACTGAGGGCGAAGGTTCACCTTCCAGCAGGACAACGACCCTAAGCACACAGCCAAGACAACGCAGGAGTGGCTTCGGGACAAGTCTTTGAATGTCCTTGAGTGGCCCAGTCAGAGCCCGGACTTGAACCCGATCCATCATCTCTGGAGAGACCTGAAAATAGCTGTGCAGCGACGCTCCCCATCCAATCTGACAGAGCTTGAGAGGATCTGCAGAGAAGAATGGGAGAAACTCCCCAAATACAGGTGTGCCAAGCTTGTAGTGTCATACCCAAGAAGACTCGAGGCTGTAATCGCTGCCAAAGGTGCTTCAACAATGTACTGAGTAAAGGGTCTGAATACTTATGTAAATGTGATATTTCCGGGTTTTTTTTTTTAACACATTTGCAAAAATGTCTATAAACCTGTTTTTGCTTTGTCATTATGGGTTATTGTGGGTAGATTGATTAGAAGAAAAACATTTCTTATCCATTTCAGATAAGTCTGTAACGTAACAAAATATTGAAAAAGGTCAAGGGGTCTGTATACCTTCCGAATGCACTGTATATATTGGCTGGTAATGTTCTGGTTACAACATTATTCTAAATGAACATCGGGTATAAACATTCTACATTCCATACGAATAAAGTTCAACCGAAATGGTCATTTTAAACCAGTTGTTGTCGATTTGACATATGAAAAAGTACTGTCGTTCCTTCTTTTCTGAATGCACACAGCAGGCCGTAGCAGGAAGGGCATGCAGCTCCTCACATCTTCAGAGTAAAACCACAAGCAAAGTATGAGAGCTATCTGCTACAGCCCTGATCATAGGAGACCAGGTAATACTATTCACTGTAATCTCTGGGGCAAACGTGTTCACCCATATCTCCGAGAAGTAAACCACAAATCTCACAGACGAGCGAGATGGAATACTCGACTAGAGCGCCTCAGTTCACAGGCGTAGACCTATTTCAACTGTGAATCAAACCATTCCTGATATGAAACGGTTGAGAAAAAGAGAAAAACAACAGAGCAGGTGTACGGTAACCTGCCAAGGTCTTATATAGGAAAAGTTGTGCGAGAGAGAGAGAGAGAGAGAGAGAGAGAGAGAGAGAAAGAGAGAGAGAGAGAGAGAGAGAGAGAGAGAGAGAGAGAGAGAGAGAGAGAGAGAGAGAGAGAGAGAGAGAGAGAGAGAGAGAGAGACAGAGAGAGACAGAGAGAGAGACAGAGAGAGAGAGAGAGAGAGAGAGAGAGAGACAGAGAGAGTGAGAGAGAGAGAGAGAGAACAGCTGAAGGAGGGTTTGATCTTACAGTCTTGTGGTGCAGAGATGAATGTCTAATGCCCTGGACCACAAAAGCCTGGGCCTCGGGTAGAGAAAGTACAACACTCACATGTTTGCTGTGCTTGTGCTACAAAAGTATAGGTATGAAATGTAATAATATCAACAAAAAAACTGTAATCCCACCGAGTCCGTGTCTGTGTGTAGACATGGGAGGCATGGTGGACCAGACTTTGTTGAATGGGTTGTAGCACTCCACCATGTTGGATGTCTTCAGACCGTCTCGGCCCCCCACCACGTACAGCTTGTTGTCGATCACCGCCACCCCGAACTGCAGCCTCCGGCCGTTCATCACCCCCACCTGGATCCACGTGTTAGTCCGCAGGTCATACTTCTCTATGGTCGTAGATCCTATGGGAACAGACAAGGAGATCTATAGATCCTATACAAACAGAGAAGGATGACGCTGACGACTTCAGGTGACCGTTTTTTGGAGGTTTAGCCTTGAATCGTATTCTGTTTCTGATTCCTAGGACCCCCTATACCCATCATAGTGTTTGATTAAACATCTACATTTTCCTATATTTGTGTTTCTCAAAACACACTTAGTCATGTGTTCTGTTGAATGTATATCTAAACTGTACAGGATCCATTTGGTGTCAGATCAATCAGTAGTGTTTGTCCATGGAATGAAAGGGTAACCTCAGTCGTGTGGATTGAGATCCATTACATTAGGATCCTAATTAGTTTCCTAATAGACCTGACGTCCGTAACAATAACAGCGCGCCGTGGTCGGCGAGATCGACGGTGACATCACACTTTAGTGGGCATCCATCTTGGTAAATGGGCTCATTGATCAAAAACCTGTAGGCCTTTATTAACAGTAGCAAGCTATTAGACGTAATGGATTTACTGGGCTTTATGTCTCACACTGGGCAAACTCCATCAAGACTATGGATGCGCCTGAAATGGCACCCTATTCCCTATATCAGGCTCTAGTCAAAAGTAGTGCACTATATAGGGAGTAGGGTGCCATTTGGGACTCAGAACCCTATATAGTGCACTTCTTTTTACCAGAGCCCTATGGGTCTAGTGCACTTTATAGGGAGTAGGGAATGCAGAGTAGGCCTAACCCTTGGTATCGTCCATGCCTCCCACAGCGTAGAGTGCTCCTACAGTAGACTTCCTGGGTTTGGTCCTGGGGCTCTGGAACATGGGGCGACGCTCCGGCAGTAGATGGTACTTCATGGCTTCCATTAGAAGCTTCTGGCATTCCAGGTCGTCTGAAAACATCTTGTTGTTCTCCAGGTCAGCCAGGAGCTAGAATTAAAGGAGAGTTCCGTTCAGTAAATTGCTATTATCCCCTAATGGCAATTTAAGTGTAGCATAAAAACATGTATGAAAATACACAACACATAAAGAAAAACAGACAGAGTGAACTATTACATTGTATAACCTAAATGTATGTATTTCACCCAGGAAGCAGTAACAACATTCAACCAGGAAGCAGTAACAACATTCAACCAGGAAGCAGTAACAACATTCAACCAGGAAGCAGTAACAACATTCAACCAGGAAGCAGTAACAACATTCAACCAGGAAGCAGTAACCAGTAAGGGCCCATTGTCATCTGGTCAAAATTAATGCACTATATAGGGAATAGGGTGCCATTTTTTATGAAGTCATTGATAACCTACTGACTGCCCACCTGTGGGGGCAGTAGAGGCAGGCGGATGTAGGCCAGGAGCAACCCAAGGTCCTGCTGGCGATGCTGAACATCGAACCGCACCCACATCACCAGAGCGTGGAAGATGGTCTCCTCATCGGGTACGTTTATGTCATCACTGGCCAAGAGTTTGACGATCTCAGCCGTAGGAAGCAGGAGAAACTCCTGGTTCTGAATCACCTCTAGGAAGTGCTCCTGAAACAGGGATGAAACAGGCTGGAGGACTTTAGTGGAAAAGGGAAAATACTGCAACCCAACCTTACAGATGAGGGTCACCAAAACCCTGGGCTCGTTTCATCTGGACTTTGGGTTGCAAAATACTTATATCCAATTGTCAGGTGCTGCCTGGATAGAAAACACAATTAATAAATGAAAGAAGACATTACCTATTGCGTGTAGAAGTGAATCATTCATTTGGTAAATAAGTACATTAGGTCGATAAATCGGTTAGGTAGATCTAGTGTAAACGTTTTGCCGGTATGTGGATTAAATGTGTTGTTTACAACAACAAATTAATGATCTATGTACCGAAATCAGGAGTAGAATAACACATAATTGGAAAAAATGATAAAGAAACAGCCTGAGCTGATAGTCTCAAGGAGCTAAATATACAGTCAATACGGGCCAAATGCCTCATTGGTTTCTTGGTTGATGGATTCTTGAAATTTGACTCACATATGCTTCGTTTCGGGACAAACCGGATCACTCAGAGTTCCAATGCGGCAATTGTTTGCTTGCCGAGGATTGTAGGCTTGAGGTGGCTTCCTTGATCACGCTGGTCGCCAGCCTACGTAAGAAACTGGGGAAAACGCAGAGTGGAATGTTGACCTTCTCTACCGCGGTGGCTGGACGGCTTTCGCGCTTGTTGGATGCATCTCCGCCTTGTCGTTTGTCATTATCCGACTGGCCGGTGTTGCCCAGAGCTCCCCCATCTATCTGATAGCGCCGTCGAAGGAGCACAGCAAGAGGAGCATGGCAATCAACCATGGTCACATGTCACGAGCCGTGGAAGCCGAAGACAGCAGACTCCCGCTAAGCAGTCTACACTCCCAACGAGAGGCCCGGACCGGATACAAACAACAAATAGTTTCGCCGTCCTGGAGCCTGATCTTCCTCTAACCTTCGTCGCTGTGTCTGTATCCGCAGTGCCTACTCCTACGATTTCGAAGTCGACGTCGGCAACCTTCCATCCCTGATCTGGATCGAGCGTGGCTTCTCCATCTGTCTGAGGCCTGCACCAGGCGCTGGGAGCAACGGGCTCAAGTCATTCTGCCTCTTGCCCATCCATAAACGGTTCTCCGAATTCTGTGAAGCGTGGGAGTGGGAGGATTTCCTCGTCCTTCTCGCCAGCCGTGATTTTGGGCAGCTCCATGGTAAGTAATGTGATCATTCCTGGTGCAAAAACATCTATCCCGGAGCTTGAGTAAATTACATTACTAAGCTGCTCCCGAATGTACTACGTCAGGACATAGAAATCGATTCTATCGTAGTCCATGTGGGTTTTAATGACATTATGAAGGGCAGCTCTGAACAGTTGAAACTGGATTTTAAAGAGCTGATTGACTCTCTGCTAGACACTAATAAAAGACCCATCATATCTGGCCCTGTGCCCTCTCTGAATCATGGCATCATATCTGGCCCTGTGCCCTCTCTGAATCATGGCATCATATCTGGCCCTGTGCCCTCTCTGAATCATGGCATCATATCTGGCCCTGTGCCCTCTCTGAATCATGGCATCATATCTGGCCCTGTGCCCTCTCTGAATCATGGCATCATATCTGGCCCTGTGCCCTCTCTGAATCATGGCATCATATCTGGCCCTGTGCCCTCTCTGAATCATGGCATTGAATGCTTTAGAAGGATTCTTTCTCTTCACAACTGGCTGCGTGATTATAGCAGCTCAATGGGTGTAACGTTGTTTGACAATTTCGATACCTTTTGGAAGCAAAACACATTTTATAATAATTTCACAGCATTATCAGGCTGTGTTGAGACAATGACTTATCAATGACCAAAGCCCAGCTCAGTTAATCCCTACCATTGTGACGCTGAGTTGTCATAATGCTTCAGCAAATGTACATTATACAAGTGGCGTTGGAAAACACAATGTAACTAACCTAATTTATGTCCCTCTAACTGCCCTGAATGCCTCTGCTGATCCTACAGCTATTTTATGCAGTAATCATGTGCTTATGAACCAGATTTATACTGTTAGCACTGAGTTGGTGTGTCCTAGTAGGAAGTCCACTGTGTGCAGCTCACCCTGCACTAACATAAATAACATGAGCATATCTACTTCTTCTAAGCTTCCTAGTAAAGCAATGAAAACAAGTAAGCATCCCAGAAGAAAAGTGCTCAAAATAGCCCACGTTAACATGTGTAGCTTAAGAAACAAGGTTAATGAAATCAATAATTTGCTAGTAACAGATGAAATTCATATTCTGACAATCTCTGAAACTCACTTGGACAATACCTTTGATGATACAGTGGCAGCAATACAAGGTTATAACATTTACAGAAAAGACAGAAATGCCAATGGTGGAGATGTTGCTGTTTATATTCAGAACCACATTCCTGTGAAGCTTAGAGAGGATATCATGGTAAATACTGTTGAAGTAATATGGCTACAGGTTAATCTGCCTCACCTAAAGCTCATTCTTGTGCTATTGACCACCAAGTGCTAACAGTCAGTATCTGGATAACATTTGTGAAATGCTTGATAATGTATGTGATATCAACAGAGAGGTATATTTTCTGGGTGATTTAAATATTGACTGGCTTTCATCAAGCTGCCCACTCAAGAAAAAGCTTCAAACTGTAACCAGTGCCTGCAACCTGGTTCAGGTTATCAGTCAACCTACCAGGCTAGTTACAAACAGCACAGAAATGAAATCATCCACATGTACAGTGCCTTGCAAAAGTATTCAGCCCCCTTGGCGTTTTTCCTATTTTGTTGCATTACAACCTGTAATTTAAATTGATTTTTATTTGGATTTCATGTAATGGACATACACAAAATAGTCCAAAATTGGTAAAGTGAAATGAAAAAAATAACTTGTTTCAAAGAATTCAAAACGGGTCAGGGACAATGTTGTGGAGAAGTACAGATCAGGGTTGGGTTATAAAGAAATATCTGAAACTTTGAACATCACACGGAGCACCATTAAATCCATTATTAAAAATGGAAAGAATATGGCACCACAACAAACCTGCCAAGAGAGGGCCGCCCACCAAAACCAACGGACCAGGCAAGGAGGGCATTAATCAGAGAGACAACAAAGACACCAAAGATAACCCTGAAGGAGCTGCATAGCTCCACAGCGGAGATTGGAGTATCTGTCCATAGGACCACTTTAAGCCATACACTCCACAGAGCTGGGCTTTATGGAAGAGTGGCCAGAAAGAAGGCATTGCTTATAGAAAAAAATAAGTGTTCGCCAAAAGGCATGTGGGAGACTCCCCTAACATACAGAAGAAGGTACTCTGGTCAGATGAGACTAAAATTGAGCTTTTTGGCCATCAAGGAAAATGTCTGGCATAAACCCAACACCTCTCATCACCCCGAGAACACATTTACATTTACATTTACGTCATTTAGCAGACGCTCTTATCCAGAGCGACTTACAGGAGCAATTAGGGTTAAGTGCCTTGCTCAAGGGCACATTTACGTCATTTAGCAGACGCTCTTATCCAGAGCGACTTACAAATTGGTGCATTCACCCTATAGCCAGTGGGACAACCACTTTCCAATATTTTTTTTATTTTTTTATTTTATTTTTTTGGGGGGGGGGGGGGGGGGGGTAGAAGGATTACTTTATCCTATCCCAGGTATTCCTTAAAGAGGTGGGGTTTCAAATGTCTCCGGAAGGTGGTGAGTGACTCCGCTGTCCTGGCGTCGTGAGGGAGCTTGTTCCACCATTGGGGTGCCAGAGCAGCGAACAGTTTTGACTGGGCTGAGCGGGAACTATGCTTCCGCAGAGGAAGGGGAGCCAGCAGGCCAGTGGTGGATGAACGCAATGCCCTCGTTTGGGTGTAGGGACTGATCAGAGCAACACCATCCCCACAGTGAAGCATGGTGGTGGCAGCATCATGCTGTGGGGATGTTTTTCATCGGTAGGGACTGGGAAACTGGTCAGAATTGAAGGAATGATGGATGGCCCTAAATACAGGGAAATTCTTGAGGGAAACCTGTTTCAGTCTTCCAGAGATTTAAGACTGGGACGGAGGTTCACCTTCCAGCAGGACAATGACCCTAAGCATACTACTAAAGCAACACTCGAGGGGTTTAAAGGGAAACATTTAAATGTCTTGGAATGGCCTAGTCAAAGCCCAGACCTCAATCCAGTTGAGAATCTGTGGTATGACTTAAAGATTGCTGTACACCAGCGGAACCCATCCAACTTGAAGGAGCTGGAGCAGTTTTGCCTTAATGAATGGGCAAAAATCTCAGTGGCTAGATGTGCCAAGCTTATAGAGACATACCCCAAGAGACTTGCAGCTGTAATTGCTGCAAAAGATGGCTCTACAAAGTACTGTAGGGTGAATAGTTATGCACGCTCAGGTTTTCTGTTTTTTGTCTTATTTTTTGTTTGTTTCACCCCAAAATATTTTTTGCATCTTCAAAGTGGTAGGCATGTTGTGTAAATCAAATTATACAAACCCCCAACAAATCCATTTTAATTCCAGGTTGTAAGGCAACAAAATAGGAAAGATGCCAAGGGGGGTGAATAGTTTCGCAAGCCACTGTAGTGATCACATACTTACCAATGCTGCAGAAATTTGCTTGAAAGCAGTATCCAGATCCATCGGATGTAGTGATCACAACATAGTAGCCATATCTAACAAAACCAAAGTTCCAAAGGCTGGGCCTAATATAGTGTATAAGAGATCATACAATAAGTTTTGAAGTGATTCCTATGTTGTTGATGTAAATACATTTTGTTGGTCTGTGGTGTGTAATGAGTAGCAAACAGACGCTGCACTAAACACATTTTTGAAAATTGCTCATTCCAGTTACTAATAAGCACGCACAACTTGGATGGAAAATTACGGAGGATAATAGTGGACGATATTGCAACTCCTAATTACCATATTTTCTATTTAAGCCTACTGGAATGTGTGTGCCCTCAGGCCTGGAGCGAAGCAAAAGTCATTCCGCTACCTAAGAATAGTAAAGCCCCCTTTACTGGCTCAAATGGCCGACCAATCAGCCTGTTACCAAC